AGAAAGGCGGGGCATAGAGGAGAAACAATAATGTACAGTATGTGGAAAATAATGTTTTTTTTAACCTTAAACCGCATAAACACATTTCATTACACCAAATACACAAAATAATGTTCTTTTTAGCAACATCATATGACCCCTTTAAGACATAAAGCACTGAGGTTTGTTAATTATGGTCATACAAACAGATCTATATCTATCTATCTATCTATCTATCTATATGGTACAACAGATGTACACTCACAGTGTATGCCTATGTTTACCTGTGCTTTGTAACTGTCGATACATTGACTTATAAAATTGTTATAGGCCTATAATGGTTCAGATACATTTTAAGTCTATCGATTTGTTTAGTCGGGCTAATAGTTTAGTTACATCAGAATCAGAATGAGCTTTATTGCCAGGTATGTTTACACATACGAGGAATTTGTTTTCGTGACAGAAGCTTCCACAGTGTAACAGAATGACAGTGACAGAACAAAAAAACACAGATAATAAAAAATAAAAAAATAGAACAAGTAAATAAGGAATAAAAATATATAAATTGACAATTGTATGTGCAGGTATATTACAATAGACAGTTTTGTATGTACAGTACTGTATATTATGTGCAAATTTGAGGTGTAGACTGAGTATGAGTGTTAGATAAATAAGTGTATGAGTGTATAAATAGTGTGTGTTCCACAGTTATTGTTAAGTGTTCATGAGATGGATTGCCTGAGGGAAGAAACTGTTCCTGTGTCTGGCCGTTCTGGTGCTCAGTGCTCTGTAGCGTCGACCAGATGGCAACAGTTCAAAGAGGGAGTGTGCTGGATGTGAGGGGGCCAGAGTTATTCTGCCAGCCCTGTTGCTCACTCTGGATAAGTACAGTTCTTGGAGAGAAGGGAGGGTTGTACCAATGATTCGCTCAGCAGTCCGGACTACCCTCTGTAGTCTTCTGAGGTCAGATTTGGTAGCTGAGCTGAACCAGACAGTTATTGAAGTGCAGAGGATGGATTCTACATAGGCTACAATATTAAAACTACACTGAAAGGCCTTGCGTCATTTTACGTCCTGTTCGCGTTTGATGGCGGTTGAGCAGGTGTTAACGCTGGGTTATTTTATTAGTAGACTGTGTAAACGTGTAATAAACAGATCCCGAATTCCCTCACATCATGTAGCACCATCGCGTTTTCGGCATACCATGCCACGTCCTTGTTTCTCTGCAGCAGTAGGAGGGCTTTCGTTTGGGCAGGTATCTATTACCTGTGTCACGTGGGCGGTGGCCAGGTAGGGCGCACACAAAACCAGCGCGATCCAAGCAGCCATTGCGGAGCAGAGCCAAGGGTTTCGGACTTGTTTGCATCGATTCTCACGCAATTAAAAGGCCACGAGACACATCAAGGCGAGTCCGAACCCGGCACTGATCTGTCCGTAGGTGTGGGGTCACTGGGCTCTTCGCTTTTCTGTCACCTGGAGTTGATCTCTAGGGTTTTGCTTTTGCTGTCGGGGTGGTGTGACAATATATTTTTTTTCCTTCTTAAAAATGACGGTTAATCCAGATTATCTGGTGCTTTTTTTCACCACCACATCTGGCGCAAGTGGGGACCAATTGGGATCAGATGAGAAGGAAATTGTACAGTTGGTTTGGCAAGTTGTGGATTTAGCGACTAAAAAGGTAATTTCATATTTCCCCATGATGGTGCGTGCCCGTGTGTGTAGTAATTCTGGTGGGGGTTAGACGGAGAGTGAGTTTTACATTTATGTCAGATTTTTTTTTAAAGAAAAAATTACGAAGTCTAAGGTCAAATATTAAAATGTATTTATTTATTTAATTTAATCTATCTATCTATCTATCTATCTATCTATATATCTATCTATACGTGTGTTTGTATGTGTACTGTATTACAATTCTGTTGGAGATGAGAGAGAGCAGATATGGCAGATATTTAAACCAAAATTAGTCAAAGTCAAATCGAAGGCTCTATCAATCTAAATCCATCTACTTTTCCCCTGCTATTTATCAATTCATCCATCCATTTTATTTATTTGCCTATGTAAATGTATATGTTGGAAGTGAGAATTCCTCTGCTTTCTACATTTAGGCTGGTCAGGTAAATGAATTGCTAGTCAAACCAGATCACATTGAGCTCTCTGAGGAGTGTCAGGAGGTGAGTGAACTCACCGAGGAGGCCTTGACAGAAGTTGAACCGCTTGAGGAGGCCATCGAACAGGTGATCTTTCTCATATTCTCATATAATCTGTTCTGACAGGATGGTATTTATCTTTTAGTGTGTATGTTTTTAGAACTTTTGGTTCAAAATAGATAAGGATGTTATTTTCTAAATCTTTACACACTATTAAATACATAATTTAACAGCTTGTGGATTGATATTTGCATGAGCAACCTTGTGAGTGTGTATCAAAGGCCACATAAAAGTGGCATTTACTCAGAGAGTCCATGTGTGTGCAGTTGAATCAGAGGTTATGTGCAGAAGTGGACGCAGGTGCAGGAAACACCTTCTACCTCTGTACGGATGGACAGCTGCACATTCGTCAAGTCCTCCATCCTGAAGCGTCCAGCAAGGTATCAAACTCTAAATACTGCAGCTGAGTGGGCGATATTTGTGAAAATATCTAAGTTTAGTTAAATACTTTGTAAGTGTAAATGTGTTGTCTTGACTGCTTACTTTTTGTGCTTTTCAGAATATTTTGTTGCCTGAATGTTTTTTCTCGTTCTTTGACCTGCGGAAAGAGTTCAAGAAAAAATTCCCATCAGAAGGGGAACTGAAAGACTTGAATCTTCAGGTCATGGCTGACTGTATCCTTAAAAGACATGTCGAATATTATCTTTTGTGTATTTTTTGTAAATTTTAAATGGATTAGAGTATATTAATACACATATTGGTTCATAATTCTCTGACAACCAGTGTGAGGAAGTTGCATTTGAGTGTGTATGTGAGACAACGATAGGCAACAGGGTGTTGGCTGCAGGATCCCAAGGTTTTGAAATGCAAATAGACTCACAATAGTGTGGGCTCAATTGAGCCAGCAAGAGAAAGCCAAGAGTGTTTAGCCAACAAGCTTAACCTGCCACACCTACGCTGTAACGTCTTACACACACACACACACACACACACAGAGTCAAACACATAATGCATTAGCACAGCCCTCTACACAGTAAGAAAGTTTAATCAAAATGCATTCACTCCCTTCATGTTTCTGTTGTTCCTTTATGGAAGACTGCTGTGTTTCAACGCTCCTTTTGCATTTATAAACCCTACCCTAGTTGTTCTTTGCATCTTTACTGTGTCATTAGCTGGTAATTATCACCAGTAACACTAAACCCAGATGCTGTATTCCTTGACTGCAGTTGCAATCAGACCTGAATGTGGTTGTAGATTCTTCTCTTCATGCTTTCACTGCTCACATGGTTCAGCAGATGTCAGAAATTGTTTTAGCACTCGTCTCGGAGCCTGTCTGTAAGTCCTTACAACTTACATATTATTGTCTGAACACATAAATATAATATTCATAAGTGTTTTTGTTATGAACTTGTTTTATTCGTCTTCATAGGCCACCAGTTCTCATTCCCTGAAAAAGTGAATGACAAGTTTGAGACTGGCACTTGGTAATAGCTGTTTCTTATTTAAACTATCAAACATTATGTTTGCAACTGTGTTCAGTTGATTTATTTTTATTTTTTTGCTAAGCTCCACTTTAATGTTAATGACCAGTCATACCTTAGCAACTGTTGACATCCACCATATTATAAGAGTTACCTGCATTTGCTTTTTTTCAATATTTGAAAACCCTGTAAATATCAAGGAATTTTAAACTGAATGTTTAAGGTCTGGAAAAGTCAGTGAAATTTATAAAATCACAGAAAAGTCATAGGATTTTCTATAATGATTATACATTTTTATTACACGTCTGTTATCTAAAACATAGAGATTACTATTTGTGAGTGCAATTTCTATAAGATTACTCATAAATGGAAATTGGAGATATCATGTCAAATGTTTAGTTTAAAAGTTTACATGACAATTTATGGTGCTGGAGCTATAAGTATTATAGAGCATTTTTATTCTGGAGTATTTTAATATAGAGTTTTGTTTATTTTTTCTACTATATTAATGAAAAGTTCATGCTGTGAATTAAATTGTGTCCTGTTCACTAACGAACATGTAATAGATCATTAAGAACCACTTACGTTTGCTCCCTGGTAAACAAACGTTACAGTAATTTTATCTATTGAGGTATTTTGAAGTTTTCATTTTTATTCAGAAATATTTATTTAATGAAAAACGTCTTTACAATGTCACACATCATTCTAGCCAGAGCACATTTGCTGGAAATCATGCAGGTCACAGAAATCTCCTGCTGAATCCTATGTGAATTTCTGTAAAGCTTGTCTGAGTAGTAACATATATTTATTAATTTTTATATTAATTTTTTCCTTGCTACTAGCATAAGTTGTTGTGACACATTATTTAAATAGCATGTATGTATGTGTATAGCAGTAAGATGGAGAGGGTGGATGATAACACAGTGATCAGAGCTCGGGGTCTTCCATGGCAGTCTTCAGACCAGGACATCGCCCGATTCTTCAGGGGTCTCAACATTGCCAAGTATGCACACATAACCTGCAAACCACCCACAGGCAGCACTTATTAATAAATGATCATCATTCAGTCTGTGCATGAATGAATGTCTGTGTATGTGTGTGTAGAGGAGGTGCTGCGTTGTGTCTGAATGCTCAGGGCAGGAGGAATGGAGAGGCACTAGTGCGGTTTGAGAGTGAAGAGCACAGGGATTTGGCCATGCAAAGACACAAGCATCACATGGGCACCAGATACATTGAGGTACACACACATTCATAAATTATAGTAAGTATAATGTTAGACTAAGTATAGTGATATATAAATATATCATATAAGTTATATAAATATAATTTTCAGTAATCTGTTTCGGTAAATGAAGTTACATTTAGTGCCCTAATGAACAAAAGTCCAGTTACAATAACTTTTTTTAATTGTAGTGGAATGGTATGTAAATTATTTACATACATTATTTTGTTTTGCAGGTTTACAAGGCAACAGGTGAAGACTTTTTAAAGATAGCAGGAGGTAAAAATATATATTTTTTGTGCTTCAGTTTGCATTCATGTGATATTTGGGTTTGTATGTGGATAGGGTTGGGAACTGAGAACTGGTTCCATAATTAATTAAATTCCATGAATAATCTATTCGTATTCAGTACCAGTTCCATTTGAAAAAATGGTCCATTGTGACCAGTGTAGATTCCCAAACTTAATTTCTTAAATGAGCCGGTTCTTTGAGTCTAAAAATGTAATGTGCAACCAATGTAGTCTGACTCCTGAACGAACGATTCTTTGTAGTGAATCAAAAACAATCAAAAACATACAGTGCAGTTTGTGTAAACACAACTTGGTGAGAACTGATTTACGTTGATTTATTATTGAAATTATCCCATTGTTTGGCAATGAAATGGCATTTATTTATGCCTTAAAAGAACTACAGGAAGTAGAGTAACTGGAACCTTTCACAAGAATTGGAACAGGAACTAACTTTCTTACTTTCCCATCCCTATATGTGAACAATCTTGCACAATTCTATTTTTTCTAGTTATTGTATGAATGCAGTTGTAACAAAAATTGTGTATATCATCTGATTTCTGGAGTTTGTGTTCTGTCAGTGTTATTTGCATTGGTTTGAGTATGTTTTGTGTATTCTTAGCTTCACGTTGAGTGGCTCATGTGTCAATGTCTGACTGGCAGGTACCTCTAATGAAGTTGCCAAATTTCTGTCGAGGGAGAATCAGGTTATCGTGCGTATGCGTGGACTTCCGTTCACCGCCACCGCAGAGCAGGTGCTACAGTTCTTCTCCCCGGCATGTCCTGTGACAGACGACAGCGAAGGCATTCTGTTTGTACGTTTTCCCGATGGCAGGCCCACTGGGGACGCTTTCGTGCTGTTCTCATGTGAGGAACATGCTCAGAATGCACTGAAAAAACACAAGGACATCCTGGGCAAGAGGTACATAGAGCTGTTCAAAAGCACTGCGGCTGAGGTGCAACAGGTGAGAGCAGCACTTCCTATTTGATTTGAAATCATTAGTTGTGTGGAGTCTATTTTAGTTGGTTTAGACAGACTTGGCAGGCCAAGTAAAACGTGAGGTGTTTGGGTGTGTAAGTGTGTGTACAAGCATGTACTCCGTCTGAACGACCCGGCTGGCTGAACAAACACTCAGCTCGGCAATCTGTAAAAGATTAGCTTTTTAAAGCTGTCATAAAATCTCTCTCTTAGTCTTCCTGTTCTTCGGTGTAAAAACCTTTAACATTTCATTGTTACTAATTTTGTAGAATTATTTGGAATTCCTTTGTGTTAATATTTAGCTGTCGTCATATATATCAAACCAAGGCTACTCAACCATAGCAGGCAGTTGAACTCACTTTAACCTGTTTTTGAGCAGACATCATGTGTGTTTGATCACCAGCAAGGGGGTTTTGGTGCTACAAGGGTGTGTCATTTCGGCAAAGAGAATCCCATCGTGCCTTATATTAATAGTTGGCTGGTTGTTGGGTTCTTTAATAAACAGAATACTTACAATTGAATCACCACATCAATAATACCAGAAGACTGAACTTATTTCTGACATAAAAGGAAACAAAGCAAACTGAATCCCTCACACAACAAACACCAACCTGTGTTGCATGTACCTGGTACAACTGTGAACAAAACAGCTTTTTTTTTCTTTTCTTTTTTTATACAACCAGTAAATTTTTTATAAGTGTTTAATGACCATTATGCAGAACTGATTTGTAATTGTTTTATTTCTACTTTTTTAACACAATGAGTACATAATCAATAGGCTACAACAATGAACATAACATGCATAATAAATATATTGTTTTATAAAGATTTATTTATAATTATGACTGTATTACATAAACGCAGAGTTGTTTTGCTATCAAAATGATTGCAGATTTATTTTCATCTTAGTTTTGGGCTGTCTAATGGTTATCGTGGAATCATGTTTTTTTTTTCACTTGAGAATAAATGCAAAATATGCATTAAGTAACTTATTTTACCTATGAACTAATTATGGGAAAAAGATGAATACTGGTAAAATATATCGGTCAAACGAATTATCTGTCTAGCTCTACCAAAGTACAGATAGATTGGACCAGTCATTGAGAAGATTTAATTACAAGTTGAATGGGTAATATTACATGATAAACATTAAACAATCAAATTTAAAGAAACAAAGAAAAAAAAACTGCTGTGGATTTTCTATGCTAACCCTAAAGTGATGCTTTGACTGATGGTTTGGTAGACTTGGATCTGGTAAAGTTCCAACAAATATAAAACCAACAAGTTTTATATTTGTGGGCAAGTTGTCTCCATATATTAAGGCATTTGAGGATACAGACACACTAAACTTGTGTTTGCATGGTGGCAAACAGTATCAGTACCTCCAGGTAGAGCGCAGTTCATCCATCATCTCCACACCTGGAGCTATAAACAGGCAGAAGATGATGTGCATTGCCAGTCATTCAACTCCAGCATTTGTGTGTCAGGTACTGAACAGATACTCATCGGCCCCCTTGATTCCCGTGGCCCCATCCCCCATCCTGTCTGTTGTGCCACCCCCCACATTCATGCCACCAACGGCAGCAGTGACAGGTGTGCGGGACTGCGTGAGATTGAGGGGTCTGCCGTACGATGCCACCATCCAGGACATATTGGTTTTCTTGGGGGAATACACTGCTGACATCAAGCCACATGGAGTGCATATGGTGCTTAACCTGCAGGTAAGGATCTCAGACCCACTTATATACATATGAACTAGTATTGATGAAGTTCATCCAATAAAATAAACACACCTATGCAGTTCAGAATGTGTTCTGTTGGGGATTTTTCCTCCATTGGCTCAACCGCTCCATAAAAAAGGATGATTCATCTCAGCTTTTGTCAGGACTTGTGTTTCTTCATTCTTTTACAATGTGTTTCTGTCATGCCTTGGTCCTTACAATATCTCAAAGCACGCTGAAGAGAACTTGAGAATAGGATAGACTATTGAAATGTTTCCACGCAAACCTCATTTCTAAAAAGCTGGCTTGCATATTTTCAGCTAGACACAGAGAAAGAATTTAATGATTCTGATTCCTCTTAATGGTTCCATTAAAGATTATTTTACAGTACCGTTCAGAAGTTTGAGGTTGATGTTTTTTTTTATGTTTTTGAAAGAATTCTCTTATGCTCACCAAGGATGCATTTATTTGATCAAAAATACAGTAAAAACAGCAATACTTTAAAATATTTAATATGATTTAATATATTTAGAAACATACTTTATTCCTACTTTATTCTTATATGCTTTTGGTTTTGGTTCTCAAGAAACATTTCTTATGATTATCAATGTTGTAAAACAGGTGTACTGCTTAATATTTTTGTAGAAACTATTAAATATTTTTCAGGATTTCTTTGATGAATAGAAAGTTTAAAGGAACATCATTTATTTAATATAGAATATGTAACAGTGTAAAAGTCTTTACTGTCACTTTTTGAATGCATACTTGCTGAATAAAAGTATTAATTTATTTTAAAAAATCTTACCTTACTAACCCCAAACATTTAAATGGTAATGCAGTACTTTTTAAGGAAGAAATATTTTGGGGAGAAAAAGTAATTTCATTGGCAAATGATGATATGATTTAAAACAATTCATGCAAAAGGTTTCTTTTTATGCAACCCAATAATTATTTAATGAACTATTTATTAAACAACAACACCAAATAAACAAAAGTAATATATTTAATTAATTTATTTTTTACAAAATCTTTAACTACACATTGTCATATGAACAATCAGTCAGTAACTACACTGATTGTAGTTGTATAGCTATTTGTATTTCTGTTGTTTCCTTAAAATAAACCGTTCATTCAGGTATTGGACTGTAGAACAATTGGACTGATTCGCACTGTATGCTTTTGATTTAAAGAACCCATAAGACTCATTTGTTTAGGGAGTTGAACTACAGCGGTTGCACTGTTTTTGATTCATTAAAAAGAACTGGTTCATAAAAGTCTCTAGTTGTTCTGAAATTAAACTACATAGTTTACACCGTCTGTTTGCCGCTGTAGATTCAGTAATGCAGCTCTAATCATAGGCGGATTAACCATATGGGCATTGGCAATTGGGCAAGTGCCCAGGGGCACCACGCAAATAAATGTTCTGCGGTAAAACAAGCGATGTATTCTCAAACGTCTATCTAGCCGTGGCCTATACATAGGCTCCCCTTTCATCAGTACGTATCAGTACGTACTATGTTATCTGAAAGTTTTGTTAAAAGGTTGTTGTTTTTTTCTCTCATGCGTGAAACGGTGGATGCGCGATCTATAGCCAGATTCACACATAGGCTATCCTACTGCGTGGACCCGTGCGCTTTCGTTTCGACGGCCATATATTACTCAAAACAGATTCTAGAAGCATGCTGTCGCGCAACTCCCGTCTCTTCAACTGAAATGCCTCGCTCATGGATGTGTGAATCCGCTACGGAGCGTCAGCCTTGCGCTTACGTTGTACTTTGCAGCCATTGGCAATCAAGAAAGGGGCAAAGTGTAAACGAGTGAGTTTGTAAGTTTTATTTTCAGTTCAAATCCTCACAAAACTATATGTAGCTATATACAGTGCTTAACAAATTTATTAGACCGCCCGTCAAAAACTTGTTTAAAACTAAAAAATTGTGTTATCATTGGGCAAATAACAAACTGAAACAACTAAATAGTCTTTATTCACACATAATAACCAAAATCTAATAAACCAAAAAATATAAATAGGCTATTTTATTTTTATTTTGTTTGGCCTTGATAAAAGCTTGCATTCTTGCTGGCATAATTTTTGTGCACTTTTCCACAGCCTCTGTTGTTACTGACTTCCAAATAGTTTGTAGTTGTTCCCAAAGACTTGCTTTTAAATTAAAAACTTTTGTGCAATCTATCTTAGAATCATTCAGTCCCAACAATAATTATATTTTAGCATTAGAAACACTACTGTGACTAAAGATTTTACACATACTGGTGGATTAACCATTACAGAAAAATAACAATGGTAATTTTGGTAATCACCTACTTAGTTTAGGGCAGCTGTGGCACAAACCTATTGGGTGGTGGCCTAATAAATTTGTTAAGCACTGTATATGTAATTGCAAACAAGACCATGCACTCATTGTTGCATTTCTGAAAACACCCTTTTTACACAAGGGAGTAAAACATTAGAAAATGTTTTTGTAAATTAAATATGAATGAAAAATTAGCTGAGGACAACAATAACTCTAAAAAGATTATCCACTCTTTCTTTTTTTCCATAGAGTCTGAAGTTATTAACAGATTGGATTATTATTATTATTCCTGTAACAGTTGACTTCACTAGGTATAAAATGTTTCAATTTGCTGCATACAGTTCAGATTTATATCACATCTTAGAACAGATTACACCTGTAAGAGGTGGGTTCACAAGTTATAAATAATTTATATCATAATATATTATATAAATTATATAATAATACAGTAATTATATCATAATTTCAGAGTACACTGTAAAAAGTGGTAACCTCTAGAGTGGCACTCTAGGTGTCATTGCCCAGGGGCACCAAAGAGTCTTAATCCGCCACTGGCTCTAATGAATAAGTAGTGCTGGAAACCATTAGTATTTTAGAACAGGGTTCCAGTATTTTTTGAAAAATGGATTTAAAATAAGAATAATTAAAATATCCTCATTATGAAAAAAAAAAACAGTGAGACACGTTCAGTACTTTAAAGCATTTGAAGCAGAAACGCATCCTGCTCTCTTGTTAAGTGCGCTTGTTTTATTCTTTTTAAAAAGTGAGTTTATGAATTCAGCATTTGTTAACGTGTGTTTGATCAGGGTCGTCCGTCAGGTGATGCTTTTATCCAGATGCGTTCAGCTGACCGGGCGTTCCTGGCAGCCCAGCACTGCCACAAGCACAGCATGAAGGAGCGTTACGTGGAGGTGTTTGCGTGCTCCGCTCAGGAGATGAACATCGTGCTGATGGGGGGGACGCTCAACAGGAGCGGCCTCTCGCCGCCACCATGTAAGTTACGACGTAAGTGCCGCTGGGCTCTGGGTCTGCTTCTCTCAGCTGTGTGTGCGGGTAGGTGGCGCTTCACGCCTTCCTGTTTTTTCCCCTTTCTCTCATTCATTCACTTATTCATTCATGGTGGGTGTCCTGTCCACATTTCCTGCCTTGGCAGGAATGGGCATCAGGAGCGGTAGGAATCTGGTTGGGTGAATGTTTTTTTTTTATTCAATTCAGATCTGAGTCTGTTAGATGCTTTTCCACAGCGGGGGAATGGAGGGCTTTGATTTGGGGTGATTTAGTGCAATCTTTCTAAATCTAAATGTGCACAAAATTTGAATCCACATCATAATGTCACCATATGCACTTTGTTGCACTTGGAAAGGCACTTTCTGTTTGATTTAGTGTAGATTTCTTTCTTTCTTCGGTTTTAGATAGTCAGCTCCATAACTTTGCTGTCCTAACAACCAACAGCGTCATGTAAAAGCCTCGGCACGCCACAGGATGAGTCCGGTTAAAGGCATCTGAACGCCTGTGGCTGTGTACTGATATGTGTTGAAGGGTGGAGGAACATACCTGACTAGCTGAATTATAATGGCAGATATTGAGAGTTTTGGGTTAAGGTTTGCTGCATGCTTTGAGTGTGAGATAAAGTTTGGCATAGATATTTTAATAGAAATCCTTTATTGTAAAAAAAAACTGGTGTTTTTCCAACTTCGTGAGCAAATATTTTGGAAGATTTAATATAACAAGACACATAACGTTCATATGATATATGATTTGGGGTGATTTAGTGCAATCTTTCTAAATCTAAATGTGCACAAAATTTGAATCCACATCATAATGTCACCATATGCACTTTGTTGCACTTGGAAAGGCACTTTCTGTTTGATTTAGTGTAGATTTCTTTCTTTCTTCGGTTTTAGATAGTCAGCTCCATAACTTTGCTGTCCTAACAACCAACAGCGTCATGTAAAAGCCTCGGCACGCCACAGGATGAGTCCGGTTAAAGGCATCTGAACGCCTGTGGCTGTGTACTGATATGTGTTGAAGGGTGGAGGAACATACCTGACTAGCTGAATTATAATGGCAGATATTGAGAGTTTTGGGTTAAGGTTTGCTGCATGCTTTGAGTGTGAGATAAAGTTTGGCATAGATATTTTAATAGAAATCCTTTATTGTAAAAAAAACTGGTGTTTTTCCAACTTCGTGAGCAAATATTTTGGAAGATTTAATATAACAAGACACATAACGTTCACATGATATATATGAGACATGCCTGAACTCATTTATACGCAGGTTCATAATGTGAGAGGTTGTATTTAGGGTGGGCTTTTGAGGTGGCTACTGCTGGTGACTACACCGTTGATTTGCACTACATTGTTCATTGTTTGTTTGATGGGATGACTGCATGAGCCTCTGATGACAAACAATGAACAGGACTTGAAAGGGGTTTAAAGGTGTAAAGCCTTCATTGTAACTGGCTTAGGTTCAGTCAGGACCACACCCTTTAATTAGTTATCGAAAATACTTTGAACAATCGCTAGTTTTTATTTTATTAGTAATTATGTAAAATCAATATTTCATCATGTCACATTCATTAATTTTAGTCCACTGTATTCTCAATAAAATGGTGTACACAAAATTTTGTCAAGAACAATTTTAAGGCATTTTAGTGAGAATAAAATATATTAAAATAATATAAAAATTATGAAAATATCTATTTAGTTCATTTTATTTTCACTAAAATAGCATAAAACTGTGGCTCTCAACCTTTTTGACCCTGCCATTCAACACAATATTCGAAAGCCCACCCCCTGCTCCATACAGGACACAATATTTCCAGTATTTCTGCTGTAATTATGACAGCTTGTGTGTTTCAAACTTTTTAGTTAACGGAAACTGGGAGTATTAATATACTGCATTACTTTACATAATTTTAAGTCATACTGCGGGCCCTTTGGAGGTTTGCTGAGGTATATAGATTTACACACTATAGTTGGATTATTTCAACATTTTATTCTTCTAAGAACTTTGTTAGTGCATTTTTATTATCTTGCAGTATCACTTTTTCTTATCATATTTTCATCAGCCGTATATTTTATAAAAAACATTTTAGTTATCACCATTGTGCATCTTTTTAATCTCCACTGTCAATGACAGAATCAAAAACAAACGAACAAAAAAATAAAAATTTGTCAGTGATTTCCTTGACAAGATTCACACTACTGTCACATCTAGTTGCCATAAGCGGACGCTTCAAGGTTGTTTTTTTACTCAATAATTCCTCATTATCCCACCTCCCCCATTTCAGGTCTGTCCCCGCCATCATACACATTTCCTCATGGGACGGCTGTTCTTCCTGCCGGAGCGGTCCTTCCTGCCGGAGCAGTGCTACCTGTGGAGTCAGCAGCTATCTACCCCTCCCAGTTTCTGCTGAGTCCCCGGCCCCTGGCACCAACGACGGCCTTCTACCCTGCCAGTAACCCACTGTACATGAACTACACCACCTATTATCCCAGGTAAGAGTTATATCTGTTAATGTTGTTTTTCAGTCCAAGATAAACCATACACATATGCAGTGTAAGAGCAATAGTTAGCTGCAGTTTCATTCACAGAGGATGATGATTGAATACCATTTATCTTTGAGTTGTCTAACACTCTAGTGTACATATTAATCCAAGTCAGCGTCTGTGTCCAAAACTTAGGTAGTTTACTGAGGAATGAAGGCATCATAAATGCATAAATGGTTCCAAGGCACCGCCTTTAATATGCTATAATGCTGTGTGTGTGAAATGATACAAATGGCATCTGAAGGAGTGGTTGATAGGGGAAAAAAATTAATTAATGAATGTCTATTGGAATTTTATAATTGCCGTTCTACCAAGAAATAAGCACTGTAGTCTTTAAATATTTGCTTAGTTATCTAAAGTTCACTTGAATTTGTTCTAGATCATTAGTTGTGATGTGATGCCTTGAAAACCTGTCTGAACCAGTTTCATTAAGAGGAGCCTTCCTTCTGTTTTGGACACAACCAATAAGCCAATGATGTCAGAACTCTTATATATGTCAGAATACTCACCAGTAACTGTCTTATGTTAACTGAGAGGTTTCACAAAATGTGAATATTTACATTCAACCTTTGTGTAATCTGTTGTGTTTGAGGGTGTTTTGTGGGCTTTTTTTTGATGAGCTGCTCCAATGAAACTCTAAAGGCTTTGTCTCTAAGAAGGACTTGCACAACCAGGACTGGGTGTGTTAACAAGGGTAACACACAACACAGAGAGTGTGTCACACCCAGGTCCTTTAACACAGCTATAATGTGCATTTTAGCTCACTTCATAGTGGAAGAACTGGTTCAGGTACTGATTGTGTATGTGAGATTTAAGGACAGAAATATTATCTAGCTTTGGGAAGGCTACAAAAACGTAGAGAAAATTTGTAGAGTAAACTATCACTCCAAAACGATGACGTTTGATTGGGGTGGGATTATTTGTTCGACCAATGGAAGAAAAAGAGAATTTTTAAAAATATAAATAAAAGAATAAATTAAACTTGTATATTGTTTGATTATATTGAATTTATATTTAAAAATATATATGTCATATATAATATTAATATATTTAAGGGATAGTCAACGGTTTGCCTTTAATGCACGTCAAGCCGTTGATTATCCCGTTTATTCCATGGTCATTTGCCAAGTTATAGACAAGTTAAAACTAGTATTGCTCTTTGCAGCGCAATATTTGATTTTGACCGAATGGGTAAAAATGACGGTTATTTTCGTCAGTTACGGCTCGTTAGCTCTAGCATTCTGCCCGCTTCAAATCATACACAGAGATGAAATAGTGCTGTTAGATCACATTTATTTGAATGAATTATAGCATTTATCTGAATGAATTATCGATCGTTTGATCGAGAGAGAGAAAGATGACAGTTGTGTGTGTGAATTACCTGCATCTGTGCGTCTCTCTCTACAAACATTGAAGTTATGAGTTTAGTTACTTAAACAGAGATTTTACCTCCTCGTTGCTGAGGACTAAAATGCATTGATCCAGTATCTAAGCAATTTTATAATAAAAGTCGCGGGGCAGCGTTGACAAGTTTATGTTGGCCTACTCTTGAACATTTCTATATATATATATATATATATATATATACACATACACACACACAAAATACATATATATGAATGTTTTGACTTATTTACCTTTTCTGTTTTAGTTTTTCATAAATTCTGTTGTTTTCATACTAACAGCCCACCTGGCTCCCCCCCTAATATCAGCTACTTCCCTACTGGCCACACCCCTTCAGCAGGCTCAGTCCTCTCAGCCCCACTGATACGAATGCAAGGCCACGCCCCTTCCCATGCTTTTAATAGCGGGATTAAAGAAATCCTCAGCATGGTACATGGATATCAGGTGAGTTTAAAATATACCCATGACTGTATTATAATATCAATGTGAGTTAGGAAGAGACTCTTCTTTCATGCCATTTCTCTCATTATTTTAGTTGACTTCCTACAAAATAGAAAGTAACTAAATAATTTACAGTTCACTGCTGGCCTCTGTAGAATTTAAATATATTAGCAACCAGTTTCACAATGTTATTGAGTGCCACTGATCCAAATACAAGTCCTAGTTTGTTCCGCATCAGAAACTCAGTGTGTGTGTTTATAGGCAGGGCTGAATTGTAGGGAACATTAAGGTGTGTCTTTGCCCTGCGGTGCTCAGCATTGAAGATTTAGATGCTGTAGTGGGTTTGAGTAACAGGACCGCATAGTTGCATTGTCACACCCCCTCGATGAGCTAAACAGGTTCCTCTGGTCTGAATTCCCTCAAAGACACACACACACACCGAGCTAAGGTGCAGTGCATTGGCCTGCTCTAACTTGACTACTGGTTTTCTGTTCCATTGCTGTAGGAGCCCAGTGTTAGTATTCTAGATCAGACAAAAGTAATCTTCATACATAAATAATACACACAAGGAATACTTTCATATTGCACAAATATATATATATATGTGTGTGTGTGTGTGTATATATACACAGTGGGTATAGAAAATAATCACATTTTGTTGCTTTGCAGCCTGAAATGAAGGCGGACACAGGTTTTATCAAGCTGTATTTACTCAGTGCAACTTATAACATCCAAGTGAAATATAAAACACCAACATGTCAAAAAAAAAAAAGAAAACAGAATCACTGAGTTGGAAAAAGGATCACCTCCTCCTAAAAATGACTTGTAAATTCAATCAGGTGTAGCTAATCACCTTCTCAATGGCACACAAAGCCATTTGACTTTCTTTGCAGCCTGAAATGAAGTGAAGGCGGACACAGGTTTTATCAAGCTGTATTTACTCAGTGCAACTTATAACATCCAAGTGAAATATAAAACACCAACATGTCAAAAAAAAAAAAGAAAACAGAATCACTGAGTTGGAAAAAGGATCACCTCCTCCTAAAAATGACTTGTAAATTCAATCAGGTGTAGCTAATCACCTTCTCAATGGCACACAAAGCCATTTGACTTTCAACTGTGATCAGCTGTGGTCATTTTGATTAGCTCAGCATGAAAAGAGCTTTCCTGGAGCATTTCAGTCCTTGGTAGGTAGTGCAACTGAAGCAAACGCTCAACTATGGGTGGCAAGGCACTGTCAAAAGATCTCTGGGAGAAAGTTGTGGACAGGCACAAGTCAGGAGATGGATACAAAAGTTTTTTCAAAAGCTTTATCAATGCCTAGAAGCACAGTGAAGTCTATTATTAAGAAGTGGAAGGTATTTGGAACAACACAAGACCCTCCCTGGATCAGGCCGTCGCTCCAAACTGGATGAAAGAGTCAGGAGGAAACTGGAGAATCACAAATTCTCCACAAATGTGGGCAGGGACTGGAGCACTTGTCAGGATAGAAGAAGAAAAATGGATGGGGCAAAATTATCAAATTCTTGAGGAAAATCTGCTGGCCTCTGCCAGAAAGTTGTCAATGGGAAGAAGGTTTACCTTCCAACATGACAATGACCCAAAGCACACAGCAAAACTGAGCGCACAGTGGTTAAAGGAGAAAAGCTGAATGTCCTTGCATGACCTAGTCAGAGCCCAGACTTAAACCCAGTCCACAAACGGTCACCATCAAATTTAACTGAATTTGAGCAGTTCTGCAAAGAAGAGTGGTTTAATATTGCAAAGTCCAGATGTGCAAAGTTAGTAGAGACATATCTCAACAGACTAAAGGCTGTAATTAAAGCAAAAGGTGGTTCAAAAATTCTGACACAAGGGGGTGATCCTTTTTCCAACTCTGTGATTCGGGTTTTTTTTTTTTTTTTTTTCTGACATGTTGGTGTTTTATCTTTCACTTGGATGTTCTAGGTTTTACTGAGTAAATACAGCCAGATAAAACAAAAACTGTGTTCGTCTTCATTTCAGGCTGCAAAGCAACAATATGTGGTTATTTTAAAGGGGGTGATTCTTTTCTATACCCACTGTACATATTAAAATTTTAAATACATTTAAATAAATATGTATATGGGTCAAAGACCGAGGTGTCCCGTTTTGGTGTCCGCATCAAATGAAATTTACAAATTTATTTATTTTTTATACAAAGGAAGCATATTAAATGCAAGTAAACTTAGTTTCAAATATCTTTTGTAAAAAAAAAATTTCAAAATATGTGATATAATGTTCCATCGTCATTCAGCATAACAGAAATATTTATGTAAAAATGAAACATGCCCGATAAGATTTTTTTGGTATATGAATTATTGTTACAATGAATGACATTTTAGTGGGTGTCTTTTTTAAATCATGGTAAAAAATAGTTTTCTGATTTTTTACTCAGAAAACATGAAATTAAACAGGACACATTTTAATCTACAGGGGAAAAAAATA